CCAGCAGCTCCGGGACCGGCAGCACCCGCACCCACGACGGTCGAAGAAGCTCCTGCTCCAGCTCCAGCAGCACCTCCAGACTCAGCAGCACGCCTCCAGCGGCGAGCGAACCACTCGCGCAGCTCCTGTGGAGAGAGGGGCTCCCGGCGAGACGCAGCAGCAGGAGAAACCCCAGGCTCAGCAGCTCCAGACGCAGCACCCCCAGGCTCAGCAGCTCCCAGCTCAGCACCTCCAGGCTCTGTAGCTCCCGACCCAGCACCCCCAGACCCCGCACCCCCAGGCACAGCACCCCCCGGCTCAGCACCCCCAGGCTCCGCACCCTCCGCAGCAGCACCAGAGTCACCAGTAACCTCGACCGGGTTAACGGCGTCTACCTGGGACACACCTGAGGGGGCAGGAACCTGAGGGGGGAGGGGGTCTACCGGGGGGGGAACCGGCACAAGGAAGTCCGGGGGAGGGGGGAGGGAAGGAGTGCGGTAGGGGAAGAGACGGTAGAAGGGGACTGACTCGTCGAACGTGACGTCCTGGGAGGACAGAACACGACGAGAGGAGGGGTGGTAAAACTGCCACCCTGGGGCGTCAGTGGGGAAGCCAAGGAAGACACAGGGAGCAGCACGAGGGGACAGCTTGTCCGCAGACAAGTCGCGGACAAACGCCCGAGATCCCCAGACACGGAACACAGACGCATCGCCAACCTTCCCCGTCCACAGCAAGGCTGGGGACATCGCAGGCCGAGAGACCCGGGGGTGAAGGTTGAGCTGATGCGCCGCGTACCTCACCGCAAACGGCCACAGAAAATGGGGGGCAGCCGCATGCATCATGGACGTACGAGCGACATCCATGACCATGCCAATGCGGCGCTCAGCAATCCCATTTTGCTGTGGTGAGTCCGGAAGCGTGAAGGTCTGGCGGATCCCCCGTGCACGACAGTAGTCCCGCAGAAGGCGAGAAGAGAACTCTCCGCCTCTGTCCGAGTGCAGACGCAGAACAGGAAAGTCCGAGCCGAAGCTCTTCCTGAGCTGGAGACGAGCCTCGCGGATCCAGTCGATCAGCACCTCAGTGACCGCACCCTTGCTGCGCAAGGGGAGGACTGTGGTGTAACGCGAGTAGTCGTCAACCACCAACAGGAAGTAGCGCTCGTAACCCTGTCCACGGACGGGGGCTGGGCCCCACACATCCATGTGAAGCGTCTGCAGGGGAGCCTCTGTCGGGGGGAAGTGGGAGGAGTGAGGAGTAGCCCGGAGGCGACCCTCGACACAGGGGACACAGGAAGGTCCTGGCCCGGAGGGGAGAGGAGGGAGAGACTGGGGAAGACCAGAGACAAGGACACGGGAAGCCATGCTCCGAAGACGGGGCAAGGAGGGGTGGCCAAGACGGTGGTGCCACAGGAGAGTCTCGTGAGACAGGAGGCGACAAGAACAGGGGGCAGACTCAGGACCTGACCGGGACGCAGCAGCAAGCACCTGACCCGACGCAGCCACCTGACCAGACGCAGGGACAGGAGGAGACTCAACGGTCAGGGTGTAGAGACTCGACCCCGGCCGACGCGAGAACGTGGCCAGGTGTCGGCCTGTGCGTGCCTCCGTGCAGTGGGTCACCCGCTGACTCGCAGGAGTGAACTGGTGAACACCCCCATCCTGCAGGTCCGCTCCACTCACCAAGGGTAGTGCGGTCTCGAAAGAAGGAGCGAGAAGCTCCGGAGTCAAGTGTGAAAGTGAGGGAGGACGAGGACGACGCAGTACCTGAGAGCGCAGTCTCACCAGTACCTGAGAGCGCAGACGCACTGGCACCTAGAGCAGCAGCCTCACAAGCACCTAGCGCAGCAGTACCAATGCCCGGGTCGGGCTGGAAACAACGGTAACCCTCATTCTCCTCACTATAATCCACAACATACATAGCAGTAAGGATAGCATCAAAATCAAGATCAAAGATCGCTACACCAGCCCTGAGAAGCTCATCCCAGCGAGGGATCTCACTAGCCCCAGGGAACTGCTGACGCCAGGCGTCCGTCAGGCGGCCAAAGCAGCGCTGGGTGGCGTGGGCACCCCCACACTGCTCACCCGCGCGGTCGCCGGAACGAAGAACGTAGGTGCAGGGACCAGTACCCCCACCCCTCTGACGCCCAGCGTACCACTCACGAAGCTGCTGAGGCGAAGGGATGTCCCGAGAGCGCTGCTGCTGCTGCCGCTGCGAGCGCTGGCCACCACCACCGCCACTACGCTGCTGGGTACCACCCCGACCAGCTCCACCCCCTCCACCACCACTGCCTCCTCCGCCGCCGCCTCCACCGCCTCCACCTCCGCCGCCTCCACCCCCGCCGCTGCCTCCACCACCACCGCTGGCACCACCACTACTGTCCCCGCCGCTGCTGCCACCACCACCACCACCCCCGCCACTAGTCCCGCCGCCACCCCCACTCCCTCCGCCGCCACCGCCGCCACCGCCACCGCCCCCTCCAGCTCCACCCGCGCCCTTGCCCCCCTTGCCCTTGCTGGAGCGACGTCTCCCACTAGGGGCAGACGCCGCGCCGACCGACTCAAGACCAAGCAGGTCGGCAGCAGCAGCAGAGGCAACAGAGGGCAGCAAGGGGGAAGGAGAGCACCCCTCAAAGATGGGGGTGCGAGGGTCACCACGAGAAGCACCTACAGCGACTATGCTCTTCTCCGCTGCGAGGAGGGCCTTCTCGAGGAGGTCGACGGTGAGCGTGGTGGGGCAGACTGCGAGAAAGTGGTCCCTGACGACTCAAAGGGAGTCAGGGAGGCGCGCGACTACGTAGTAGAGAGCGATGTACATGGGGGGGGGGTTCTTAGCGCAGAACTCAGCAGGAAGGGCGGCGCGGTAGCGAGTGTCACTAGTGCGGAGATGCGTAATGAGGTCAGCGACAGTGGGAAAGGCAGAGAGGTCAGGAAAGAGGTAGGGAAGCATGAGACGGCTCAGTGCAGCAGTGGCAGGGGAGGAGTAGCGCGCAACTACAGCGTCGTACAAGGTCTGAGCACTCTTGTACTGACTGAAGTGCGCATGCTCAGAGGTAGGAAGGTGGCGACGCACAGCAAGACGTGCAGCAGCATCGCGGGTGGCCCACTTAGAGCGGACAGCGGGATCAGCATCAGTAGCAGGAGCAGGAGAGGCGCCAGAGGTGAGGTCAAAGAGAGAAAGGTCGTCAGCTCTGTCGCACTGTAAGAACAGCTGCAGGTCGTCTAGCCAGACCTCAAAATCAATGGCGCGACCCTCAGCGTCAAAAGCTAGGACACTAGGGGTAGCCATGACGACGACTGTGAAGCAGTGCAAGCAGTAGGGGGGAGAGCACGCAGTGACAGTGGGACTGTGCTCACCAGGCAGGGCAGGTCGCGTAGCTCGACAGAAAGGCAGCTCGGCGACCGGGCGGCTCGGGTGCACAGCGGCTCGGCTCCCGGGCGGCTCGGCGGCAGGGCAGCTCGGGGGCAGGGCGGCTCGGCTCCCGGGCGGCTCGGCGACAGGGCGGCTCGGGTGCAGGGCGGCTCGGCTCCCGGGCGGCTCGGCTGCAGGGCGGCTCGGCTCCCGGGCGGCTCGGCGGCACAGCTGCTCAGAGGTCCGCCCGCACAGTCGCTACAGGTGGACGGCGGGGCCGATGCGTAGTGGGCGGCGAAGCCGCGGTTGAGCAGGCGGCGGCCGCAGCCTAGTGGGCTGGGAGGCCGCGGTCGTAGCAGGCGGCGGGGCCGTGCGAGCAGGCGGCTGGGGCCGCGGTAGTAGGTGGGCGGCGGGGCCGCGCGAGGAGGCGGCCGGGGCCGCTACGGTAGTAGGCGGCGGGGCCGCGGTCGAACAGGCGGCTGGCGCCGCGGTCGTAGCAGGCGGCGGGGCCGTGCAAGCAGGCGGCCGGGGCCGCGACAGTAGCGGGCAGCGGGGCCGCGGTCGAACAGGCGGCTGGGGGGCCGCGGTCGAGCAGGCGGCCGGGGCCGCGGTAGTAGCGGGCGGCGAGGCCGTGCGAGCAGGCAGCCGGGGCCGCGACAGGAGCGGGCGGCGGGGCCGCGGTCGAACAGGCGGCTGGGGCCGCGGTCGTAGCAGGCGGCCGGGGCCGCGATCGTAGTGAGCGGCGGCCGCGGTGTAGCGGGCGGCAGGGCCGCGTCGAGCAGGCGGCTGGGGGGCCGCGTCGAGCAGGCGGCTGGGGGCCGCGTCGAGCAGGCGGCTGGGGCCGCGATTGTAGCGGGCGGCTGGGGCCGCGACTTAGCGGGCGGCCGGGCCGCGTGTGGGAGGGAGGCGACACGGAGGGTCGCTCGAGAGCGGAAAAAAAAAAAGTTGAGCGCGCCTCGGGGCGCGCTTCGGTGGGCCCTAGGCAGAGTTCCACAGGGAACCCGCTCTATACCATGTGAAATGAGTAAGCAGGAAATGAAATGACTAAGGAAAGATTGGGTACAAATACAACCCTAGAAACCCTGTACCCCATATGTGCTACCCCACTATAGCCTACAGCAACTATGTCATATAAATCTGACACTCTGCTCAATGCTGCAGCCGCTGCATGAGATGAAACCTAGGTAAATATTATGGGAAAAGAATGTTCCACTAGTTCGTTTGTCTGATTTGTAGACAAGTTGATGAGGAGTTGTTGTATCTGATGAAGCTGGTTCCCAAGAGCCCGTGTTCCGATTGTCCAAATTTGTGCCAATCTCGGGAAAAGAGGCGATGTCTGCGCGACACGCGTCACAAAGCCACTCGTGTTACAGCTAACTCGACTCACAGACACCACTCTGCCCCCATGCACAGTGCAGCAACCCCTCCCTCCTCCCAGTAACACAACCCTCCCGACCGCCGTCTCCTCCCCAGTAGCTACCAGGCGCACCCATGTGCCACCACCAGGCTGTGTGGAGCAGGCAGACAACGCCACACAGGGGGCCCACACAGGGGGCCCCACACAGGGGGCCCACACACACACACACACCCTGTAGACCATGCAGCAGTGGCTCGGCTGGACTCACACCACTCTGCCTCCGTGCACACACAGTGCACCAGTCACTCTCTCCCAGTCACACCACTCTGCCGCCCGCCATCTCCTCCCCCGTTGCTGCGAGCTGCGCCCACCTGCCACCCGCAACCGCCCCTGCTGAGCTGGCAGAGTCTCTCAGACTGCCGTCTGCCTCAAGCTTTGCCTGCACCTGCTTCGCCATCAGGGCTAGGCCTGTGGGGGACAGGGCACACGATGGAAAGGGCAAAGAGTGACAGTTCACCTCGAGCTTTGCCTGCACCTGCCTCGCCATCACGGCCAGCCCTGGCATACAAGAAACATGGAAACACCACACCACACCACACCACACCACACCATACAGTTGTTTGGAGCACAGCTAAAAAATATGGTAGCGTGTGTCAGTGGCTTGGAGTGGAGATAGCAGCTGGCTGGCAAAGTCACAGAGACTGCCGTCTGCCTTGAGATTCGCCTGCACCTGCTTCGCCACACTCCCACATTCCTACACTCTACCCACAATCACACCCACACCCACACCCACACCAACACCCGCACCCACACCCACACCCACACCCGCACCCACACCCACACCCACGCCCACACCCGCACCCACACCCACACCCTCCCCTTCCCCGCTACCTTTATTCTACACACACCCACACCCTCCCCTTCTCCGCTCCCTTAATTCCACACACACCGACACCCACACCCACACCCACACCGGCACCCAACTCACCCTGCACCATGCGGCTGACAGCCGTCCACTACGCTTCCACTCAGTGCATGATAGAAGCTTATCCTCTCACCCACTCACCCACTCACACTCACCCCCTCATCCACGCCCACTCCCAACCCCCCCCAACCCTCCACACCCCCATGCATTCACTCACCCTGCACCACGCGGCTGACAGCCGTCCACCACTTGTCTTCCGACAGCTGTCGCCTCGTCAGCGCTGACGAGATCTCCTTGCTCCGCTGCCCCAAGCACTGCCTGCAGTGGCAAGATGAAGCGAGGAGAGACAAGGAAGATCAGGAGGCACATGAAAGTTTGTTACCAGATGTCTCAACATGGAAAACGGAGAAAGAAGAGAGGATGCCAGGAGGATGGAAATGGAAAAATGGCCTGTCCTTTGTGTGTGTGTGTGTGTGAGTGTGCGTGTGTGTGTTATTTTGTGACTGTAAGAACACTCTCTATGAAATATGAGGTCACTCGAGCCATATGTGATGGAGGAGAATGAAGCACTTGGGGAGCAGCTCAAGAACAGGAGGAATGGTTGATTGTGGGTTGCCACAGCAATGTATTTTTTGCGGATTACCTGGTAGATGTTGGCTTGCCAATCATGTGGCGAACTGGCTGTATATTAAGTTGACTCCAAACACGCTTAGGAACAGGAGGACCCTTGATCGTGGATTGTCTGGTGCATGGATTGCCAATGGTGTGGCCAGCGGGCTGTACCTGGAAGGTTGGCGACTGTGTGACGGCCACTAGTGCGCTGTTCTCTCCTTCCTCCCCCTCGTTGTCGTTGCACATTGCCTGCACACAACTCACAGGGCGAATCGGAGTTATTAGAGAACCGATGTTAGGGTGCCTTGTGTCCTTCTTCCTGTCCTTCCTCTCGCTGTCGCTGCACATGGCCTGCACACGCAAACCTAAAGAGAGAGGGGAGAGGGGGCGAGGGAGGGAGATTGAGTAAAGAGACGAAGGGCCTAAAAAATGAGGTGCGCACCTCTTCATCTCCCCCATCTCCCCGCCTTGCTGCCATTGCACACGGCACCAGCACATGCAAGCCCATGCAAGCTCCAACCAGTCATGGTGTCAATCAGTCATGGCGTGACGACTGTCAGTCACCTAAGGTTTGCATGACGGTCATAGCACGCACCTGCAGGTCCCTATGGGACGAGGTGAGAGTGAGAGTCGGAGAGCCCACTGGGCAGCAATGGCCCACCGCCACTTTGCTTTTGAGTCAACTCAAAAGGCGGCAGTGGCCCACCGCAACTTGGCCAGTGAGAAGCATGCACGCCCCTAGCATGTTCCCGCAACCTGCAAGCATGCACGTCTATAGCACATCACCCACCTGCAGGTCCCGCTGTGAGGACGTGAGCGTGAGAGCCAGAGCCCACTGGGCTGCTGTGGCCCACCGCCATTCTCGGACTGCAACCCACAGCACCTCTAGAGCACCCACCTGCAAGTCCCTCTGGGAAGACGTGAGTGTGAGAGCGAGGGCCCACTGGGCGGCAGTGGCCCACTGCCACTTGGCCGCCTCGCACGCCATCTGCTTCTCTTGCGCCGCCGCCCAGCTGGCAAGCTTGTCTGCTAGCGCCACCTCCCCCAGCGCCACACTACGCAGATACTTGGCGGTCTGAGGCCTCGTGCTGCGCACCATTGCTGCAAACACACTGTTTTCAATACCAGGTTGGTGGGAGTGTCGTACTCCAGGGCCTGAGAGGGAAGTGGGAGGGATGAGGAGAGGTAAGGGGGAGTTGGAGGAAGAGCAGATACTTGGCAGTCTGAGGGCACGTGCTGCGCACCATCGCTGCGAACACACTGGCCTTTGTGGGATGAAGGCCAGTGTGTCGTACTCAAGTGCCTGGGTGGGATGAAGAAGAGGAGAAGCATGTGAGTACTTGGCAGTCTGTAGCCCCTTTGCTGCACACCATGGCTGCGAACACACTGCCTTCGTTCAACACCAGGTTGGCTGGCGTGTCGTACTCCAATGCCTGGACGAGGAAATGGAGGGAGGGAATGGTCGAAATGGTGAGGTGGAGGTAGGGAGTTGACTTTTGAGTCGACTCAAAACTGGTGAGGTGGAGGTAGGGAGTTGACTTTTGAGTCGACTCAAAAATGGTGAGGTGGAGATAGGGAGTGGACTTTAGAGTCGACTCAAAAGTGATGAGGTGGAGGTAGGGAGTTAACTTTTGAGTCGAGTCAAAACTGGTGAGGTTGAGATAGGGAGTTGACTTTTGAGTCGAGTCAAAACTGGTGAGGTGGAGGTAGGGAGTTGACTATTGAGTCGACTCAAAACTGGTGAGGTGGAGATAGGGAGTTGACTTTAGAGTCGACTCAAAACTGGTGAGGTGGAGGTAGGGAGTTGACTTTTGAGCCGACTCAAAACTGGTGAGGTGGAGATAGGGAGTTGACTTTAGAGTCGACTCAAAACTGGTGAGGTGGAGGTAGGGCAGGTACCTGGCGGACGGGGGCCCCGTGCTGCGCACCATAGCAATAAGCTGGCATGCAGAATCGAATCCAATCAATCAGCTCACCATGCCAGCATCCATGACAAGAAGAATTATGTCGCTATCCATGATGGTGTTGAGCCGGTGGGCAATCGTCAGCGTGGTGCGACCCTTGAACTCCTCTTGCCTACCCAACCCACAAACCCCACCACCTCGCCTCCCTCATTCTCTCACCATGCCAGCATCCATGACCAGAAGAATTCTGTCGCTATCCATGATGGTGTTGAGCCTGTGGGCGATCCTCAGCGTGGTGCGACCCATGAACTCCTCTTGCCTTGTACCCAACCCACAAACCCCACCACCTCGCCTCCCTCATTTTCTCACCATGGCGACATCCATGACCAGAAGAATACTGTCGCTATCCATGACGGCGTTGAGCCGGTGGGCGATCGTGAGTGTGGTGCGACCCTTCAATTCCTCTTGCCTTGTACCCAACCCTCAAACCCCACCACCTCGCCTCCTCATTCTCTCACCATGCTGGCATCGATGACCAGGATCCTGTCGCTATCCGTGACGGCGTCGAGCCGGTGGGCGATCGTCAGCATGGTGCAACCCTTGAACTCCTCGTGCCTTGTACCCAACCCACAAACCCTATCACCTCGCCTCCCTCATTGTCTCACCATGCCGCCATCGATGACCAGGATCCTGTCGCTATCCATGACGGCGTCGAGCCGGTGGGCGATCGTCGGCATGGTGCGACCCTTGAACTCCTCGTGCCTTGTACCCAACCCACAAACCCCACCACCTCGCCTCCCTCATTCTCTCACCATGCGGCCATCGATGACCAGGATCATGTCGCTATCCATGACGGCGTCGAGCCGGTGGGCGATCGTCAGCATGGTGCGACCCTTGAACCTCTCGTGCCTTGTACCCAACCCACAAACCCCACCATCGCGCCTCCCTTATTCTCTCAACATGCCGCCATCGATGAACAGGATCCTGTCACTATCCATGACGTCGTCGAGCCGGTGGGCGATCGTCAGCGTGGTGCAACCCTTGAGCTCCTCTTGCCTTGTACCCAACCCACAAACCCCACCCCTCATTCTCTCACCGTGCGGGCATCCATGACCAGGATCCTGTCGCTATCCATGATGGTGTCGAGCCTGTGGGTGATCGTCAGCATGGTGCGACCCTTGAACTCCTCGGCTCTGCCCTGTACCCAACCCATAGACTCTGCCACTTGTCTCCTTTACTCACGCACCATTTCGGCATCCATGACCAGGATCTTCACGCTATCCATGATGGTGTTGAGCCGGTGGGCAATGGTCAGCATGGTTCGCCCCTTGAATTCCTCGCCCACATCAACGGTTGTCGTCGCTTCATCCAACACCAAAATGCGCGACTCCTTGAACAGCGCCCGCGCCAGGCTGATCAGCTGCCTCTACCCCACGCTGAAGTTCTCCCCTCCCTCTGCTACCTGAAGTGGGGTGAAGTGAAATGGGAAAACGATTAGTTGTACCCATCTCAGCCCCTCCTTGAGCAGCGCCCTAGCCAGGCTGATCAGCTGCCGCTGCCCCACACTGAAGTTCTCCCCTCCCTCCGCCACCTGTGGGGAAATAGATGGTTGAAGGGGAAGAATCCGCGACATGCGGGATAGCACCTCCCCAACACCTCGGTACCAGCACTGTCTAGGTATAACTATCTTCCCTTCCCTTACACTCACCTCCGTGTCCTACTCCAGCGGCATGCGAGATACCACCTCCCTCAGGTGCGCCCTCCCCATTGCCTCCCACACCTCGCTATCACGGCGCTTATTGAACGGATCCATGTTGACATGCAATGTGCCTGGAGGGGGTGGAGGGGGGATGAATGGGGGCGGAAGGAGGGATGGAGGAGGGGAAGGGGGCGGAGGGGGGTCGGAATGGGGGATGGAAGGAGGGGAGAGGGGAAAACAGGGGGGGATGGACGGAGAGGGTCAAGAGCCTTCTGAGTCTCTCCCTCCCTCCCACACCTCCTCATCGCCAGGTGACTTCTGAGTAGACCCAATTTTTTCTGCCATGGCTCCTAACTGGGGCTCGATTGAGCCTTCTGAGTCCCTCCCTCTATCCCTCCTTCCCATTCCTCCCACCCTCCCACACCTCGTTGTCACTTTGCTTAGACCTACTAAGGGTTTAACTTGGTCACAACCGCACCTCCTATTGTTTGCCCAAGCCGCACCCCCTAGGACCAGAATGACAACAAAGGCATGCCATAACACCTCTATTTCCTCCCCTCCCTTCCCTCGAATTTCCCGAAACTCGTCCCCTTTTTCCCCCCGTTCTCCGTCTCCCCTTCCTCCACCCTCCCTTTCTCCCCTTCTCTTCCCTTCCAGGTCACAGGCATCTACTATGTTGACTCTCACAACATCACCGAGTCGCGCCTTCAATCACTACTCTTCTTCCTTCCTTCCCTTCCACCACCCTCTGCCCTGCCGTCCCCCCTCTCCCCTTACTCACCAACCCCCAGGCCACGAGCATCTACTATTTTGACTCTCACAACATTGTCAAAGTATATGCATGCTATATATGTGTAGCCTGTAGTGGGGTAGCCAATATGGGGAACAACCCCATTTAGGGTTTCATACTTGTACCCTACTCTTCCATAGTGCATTCATTCCTGCTGCTAGATTATAACATGGTATCAGAGCACTAGGTCCATAGGACCGTCTTTTTTTTCGGGCCCACCTACTGTTGCGGTTACCGCGCTACCCCACGTGTTGTCCTGCGCCTGCCTGCCTGCCTGCCTTGCCTTGTGACGTGCTGCGCTGCGCGCGCCGTCCTGCAGCCCTAGCGCTGCCTCCTGCTGCCCTAGGCCAGCGCGCCGCCCCTGCAGGCTAGTAAGGCCCACGAACCGCCCCTGCAGGCCCGTCAGGCTCGCGAGCCGCCTCTGCAGGCCGGTCAGGCCCACGAGCCGCCCCTGCAGGCCCGTCAGGCCAGAGCGCCGCCCCGCCCGCGGCCCCGCCCTGCCGCTGACGCGGCCCCGCCCTGCCACGGTCGCGGCCCCGCCTTGCCGCTGACGCGGCCCCGCCGGGACGCCGACGTGGCCCCGCCAGCCCTGCAGCTGACGCGGCCCCGACCTGCCGCTGGCGCGACCCCGCCCTGCAGGTGCCGCGGCCGCGCCCTGCTGCCAACGCGGCCCCGCCTGGACGCCGACGCGGCCCCGCCAGCCCTGCAGCTGATGCGACCCCTGCCACTAGCGCGACCCTGCCCTGCAGCTGCCGTGGCCCTACTCTGCAACCGCTGTTGCGGCCCCGCCGAGCGCCGGCCCTGCCCGCCACTGGTGAGCACCTGCCTTGTTCGTGCGCTGCCGCGCCCTCTGCCTGGCTGTCTGCCTGCCTGCCTGCCCGCCTGCCTGCCTGCCGCGCCTGCCCTGCCCGCGCTAGTGCTACTACTACTGCTACTGCTGCTACTGGCGGTGGCCAGATGCAGCTCCAGCGACGTCCGCGTGAGTCCCTCACGCCCCAGCAGCTTCGTGAGTGGTACGCTAGTTGGGGTTGTAGGGGTGGCCGCGCTGCTACTGCTGCTACTGCTGTTACTGCTGCTACTGCTGCTACTACTGCTACTGCTGTTACTGCTGCTACTGCTGTAACTACTGCTACTGCTGCTACTGGCGGTGGCCAGATGCAGCTCCAACGACGTCCTCGCGAGTGTCTCACGCCCCAGCAGCTTCGTGAGTGGTACGCTAGTTGGGGTTGTGGCGGTAGCCATTGTGGCTATCGCCCCGGAGCTGGCCAGTCGGGAGCGTCTCGCAGTGGCCAACTGCAGCTGCAGCGGCGTCCGCGTGAGACACTTACGCCCCAGCAGCTTCGTGAGTGGTACGCTCAGAGTAGAGGGTCTTTGAGGACCGTTCGCTGCCCGTACGTCATTCGCACAGGTGATTGGATTGGTCAGGCTTGCGGGACACTTGGTCACACACAGTTCCGCTGCTTCGCCCGTCTGAGTAACGCCTGGCGTACCGAGTTTGGCGACGAGGCTGAGCTCCCCACCTGGCTGGAGCTGCTTGGACGGAGGGTAGATATCTTTGCTCTTGACTATGATGCTATTCTCACTGCCATGTATGCATTGCCTACTAGTGCTGACCGTGCCTGTTACCTGTGCGTACCGCCTGACCCAGGTATAGAGCCTGCTGCTCTAGGTGCTGGTGAGGCTGCTGCTCTAGGTGCTAGTGCGTCTCCTGCTCTAGGTACTGGTGAGGCTGCTGCTCTAGGTGCTGGTGAGTCTGCTCTCTCTGGTACTTCGCCTGCTGAGGCCTTGTACACCTTCACACTTGACTCAGGTGCTTCCCACTCCTTCTTTCGCGACAGCACCACCCTCACGCCGCTCAGCCGGCCGGTTGCAGTCTCCCTGGCAGACCCCTCTGGGGGTCCAGACCTTTCGCACTCCTCCACGGTCCTGCCGTGTCCGGCGGTCCCGTCCGGCTCCCAGTCAGGTCTTCACCTCCCCTCGTTCTCTATGAACTTGGTGAGTGGTGCTGACCTCCAGGACCAGTGGGTTGACCAGTTCACTCATGGAGGTCAGCGCGTCACCCACTGTACGTGCTCTCGGACGGGCCGGCATCTGGCCACGTTTACCCGTGACCCTGGCTCGAGTCTGTACACACTGACTACTGTGTCCCCTCAGGTCGCTGCATCTGCGTCTGCGTCAGGTAAGCTAGCGGCCCCCTGCTCGTGTCGCGCTTTGTCGCACCAGACCCTCCTTTGGCACCACCGCCTTGGTCACCCCTCGGTGCAGCGCCTTTGTAGCATGCACCGCCGTTTCCTTGTCTCTGGTCTTCCCAGGGTTCTCCCTCCCCTCCCACCCTCGCCTGCTCCTCCTTGTCTTCCCTGTGTCGAGGGGCGGCAGCGCGCCGCTCCTCACTCCTCCTCGTTCCCTCCCACAGAGGCTCCCCTGCAGACTCTCCACCTGGATGTGTGGGGCCCAGCCCGCGTCCGTGGACAGGGCCACGAGCGCTAATTCTTGCTGGTTGTCGACGACTACACGCGTTACACCACGGTCTTCCTCTTGAAGCGCAAGGGGGAGGTCCCTGATGTTTTGATCCCCTGGATCCGCGCTGTTCGTCTCTAGCTCCGCGAGCAGTTCCAGTCGGACTTTCCTGTCCAGCGTCTGCACTCTGACAAAGGTGGTGAGTTCTCCTCAGACCTCTTAGCAGCCTTCTGTGCGAAGCACGGCATCCGCCAGACATTCACGCTTCCGGCCTCTCCGCAACATAATGGGGTTGCTGAGCGCCGCATTGGCTTAGTCATGGAGGTCGCTCGTACCTCCATGATCCATGCGGCTGCCCCCCATTTTCTGTGGCCGTTTGCGGTCCGGTACGCCGCGCATCAGCTCAACCTCTGGCCCCGTGTCTCCTTGCTGGAGACCTCGCCCACACTGCTGTGGACGGGGAAGGTTGGCGATGCGTCGCGTTTCCGGATCTTGGATGCTCGTGCCTTTGTCCGCGATACCACCGCGGACAAGCTCTCCGCCCGCGCTGTTCCCTGTGTCTTCCTTGGCTTTGTCCCTGACGCGCCTGGTTGGCAGTTTTACCACCCCACCTCGCGCCGTGTCTTCCCCTCTCATGACGTCACGTTCGATGAGTCGGTTCCCTTTTACCGTCTCTTCCCCTACCGCACTGCCCCTCTTCCCCCCCCGCCGCTCTTCCTCGCTCCAGGTGCTCCCCAGGTAGACCCCCTCCCCGCTCCTGGTCCTGCTCCTTCAGGTGTGTCTCAGGTAGACCCTCGTCCCTTGACTGCGCCGGTTGAGGTCACTGGTGACTCAGGTCCTGCTGAGGTTGGTCCTGCTTGAGGTGCTGAGCCTGGGGGTGCGGAGCTTGGGGGTGTGGAGACTGGAGGTGCTGAGCCTGGGCGTGAGGAGTCTGGGGGTGCTGAGCCTTGGGGTACTGAGTCTGCAGGTGCTGCACCTGGGGGCGCTGAGGCGTCTGGTGAGTAGTATCCCTGGAGCGGCCGTCTCCGTAGTCGCTCCGCTGGTGCCTCGCCGCTGCACTCTCGTCGTCGACTCCCTCTCTCCCCACAGCAGCTGCATGAGTGGTACGTTGGCCGTCAGGGTCGCGCTGCTGGAGCTAGGGGCCCTGCTGCGGGAGGCGCTGGAGCTGGTGACTCTGCTACTGGAGTTGTTTCTGCTGGAGGTTCTGGAGCTGCTGAGGGTGCTGGAGCTGGAGGTTCTGGAGCTGCTGGAGGTGCTGGCGCTAGTGGCGCTGGGGCTGGAGGTTCTGGAGCTGCTGCGGGCGCTGGCGCTGCAGGTTCTGGAGCTGCTGCGGGTGCTGGCGCTGAGGGTTCTGAGTCTACTATTGCGCGGTCTCCTTGGAGTAGCCGCCTTCGTCCGCGTGTGCCTCTCACCTCACAGCAGCTGCACGACTGGTATGGTTGCCGTTAGGGTCGCGCTTCTGGAGGTCGGGGCTCTGCCGCTGGAGGTACTTCTGCTGACGTCACTAGAGCTGGGAGTGGTGCTGGTCCCGGAGGTGCTCGTACTCGAGGTACTGGAGCTGCTGGGGCTGGAGGTGCTAGGTCTATGGATGCTGAGGCTGGAGACCTTGGGACTGGAGGTGCCGGTTTTGGGGGTGCTGCTGCTGGTGGAGCTGGTCCTGGAGGAGCTGGCGCTAAGGGTTCTGGAGCTGCTGGAGGTGCTGGAGCTACTGGCGGTGCTGGAGCTGCTGGTGCTAGTGGCACTGCACAGCCGTGCCTGTTCTTTACTCCACCGTCTCCGTCGTCTAAGCCACCGTCTGACTCTGTGCTTCGCCAGGTTCTTAGTCTCCCTTCGTCTACTGGTCTTCCGTTACAGCCTGGCTCACCGCTGCCTGCTCCTTCTCCTTACATTGAGCAGACAGGGGGTCTTACTGAGCGTCGTAAGCCTGCGTCGCGTCCTGTCTCGCCTGTCCGTTCTGGTCGTTTCGGTCGTCGTGTTCCTCGTTCGTGTCAGCCGGCTGTCCCCGGCACCCACCTCGTAGTCCGTCGTCCTTCCTCTCCTCCGCAGCGTGTTCCCCTACCGTCCCCTCATGCGTCTTCTCTGCCTACCGTTCCTGAGCTTGAGTCTGACCGCACCCGTGCTACTCACCCTACTGTCACGCATCTCCTAGCCACAGTTGTCACTGACCCGTCGTTTGGGTCTGCTGTTGCGTCTGCCTTAGTCGCTGAGCTTGTTGACTTTGATGCTGCCTGTCGTCTAGACTACGCCACTAGTCTTGTTGTTGAGTCTGAGTCTGTCTGTCCTCCGTCCGTCGGGGGTGAGTGTGCTCTTGGCACGGACGTCCTTGAGGACAGGCACGAGGACCTTGAGTGTCTTGCAGCCGCTGCGCCTCATCTCGTGTCCATGCTGCTTGCCCCTGAGGGAGACCCGGATGCTCTAGACATCCCGACCCCGCGCTCTTACGCTGAGGCGATCGCGGGTGAGTACTCTTCTCAGTGGCAGACAGCCATGGACGCAGAGATGGCATCCTGGAAGTCCACAGGAACTTACGTCGACGAGGTTCCCCCTCTTAGGGCAAAAATCGTCAGTGGCATGTGGATTTTCAGGGTGAAGCGGCCGCTAGTTTCTCCTCCTCTCTTCAAGGCTCGTTATGTTGCTCGAGGTTTCAGTCAGTGAGAGGGAGTTGACTTCTTCCAGACCTTCTCCCCCACCACGAAGATGACCACTCTTCGGGTACTGATGCACGTTGCCGCTCAGCGTGACTACGACACACTGAGGACGACACTTGCTGCTCTTGGTTTTGCTCCGTCGACTGCTGACCCGTCGCTGTTTCTACGCACCGACACTTCGCTGCCGCCGTTCTACATACTCGTGTACGTCGACGACTTGGTCTTTGCCACTGCTGACACTGAGGCTCTCGCCCTAGTGAAGTCGGAGCTGCAGAAGAAACACATGTGCACAGACCTGGGTGAGCTGCGCAGTTACCTTGGCTTGCAGATCACCTGGGACAGAGCACGCCGCACCATCACACTGACTCAGACACACATGGTGCAGCAGGTCCTTCAGCGCTTCGGCTTCACCTGGTCCTCGCCACAGCCCACTTCTCTGGCTACAGGTCACTCGCTCTCAGCTCCACCTTCGGACGAGTCCGTAGAGCCGAGTAGTCCTTACCCAGAGCTAGTTGGCTGCCTCATGTACTTGATGACCTGCACTCGTCCTGACCTTGCGTACCCTCTTGGGCTTCTGGCTCGCTTCGTGGCTCCTGGTCAGCACCGAAAGGTGCACATGGATGCTGCTAAGAGGGTACTGCGCTACTTGTGCAGTACATCGGGCATGGGGCTCGTGCTTGGAGGGCGGAGTCTAGTTGTCCTCACTGGGCACTCGGACGCTTCTTCGATTGACGACCTGGCTACGCAGCGGTCGTCACAGGGTTACACCTTCAGCCTTAGCTCTGGCTCTGTTTCTTGGCGGTCTACACGCTCGTCCTCTGATCTCGGCTCCAGTTGTGAAGCTAAGATCTACGCCATAGCCATGGCTGCACAGGAGTTACGCTGGCTCACCTACCTACTGACCGACCTTGGAGAGCGGCCTCGTTCTCCTCAAGTGCTGTACGTAGACAACTAGGCCGCCATTGCCTTGTGTCAGAAGCACAAACTGGAGCACAGATTGAAGCACATCACTCCACGTTACTTCCTTGCTCGAGAGTTACAGCAGTGTGGTCAGCTTCGTCTTGCTCACGTGGCCACCCGGGCCAACACTGCTGATATATTCACCAAGGCACTTCTGTCTGGTGATCATCAGCGTTTTTGTACTTTGTTAGGCCTTATGCCCACGTTTCCTCACTTGCTGTAGACTTTGGTTGTACTGTGATCTATATATATACCTGCATGCTTGCTTTGTTAGGTAGAGATCACTGTGCTGTTGTTGTTGCATATATACCTCTGCATGTGAACCTTGTGGCCCTTTGCTTGTGCTCAGTGTTTGTGGTGACGTTGTGATCCACCCTGAGCTTGCTTTGCTTCTCTTGACTGGTCTTGTGGCCCTTTTTTCTCCCCCACTTTGCCTATGGGGGTGTGTCAAAGTATATGCATGCTATATATATGTAGGCTGTAGTGGGGTAGCCAATATGGGGTACAGCCCCGTTTAGGGTTTCATACTAGTACCCTACTCTTCCATAGTGCATTCATTCCTGCTGCTAGATTCTAACAAACATCTCTGAATCGAGCCTTCAATACAGGATCACCATTGCTGAACCAGACTACGACCAGAATGACAACAAAGGCATGCCATAATACCTCTAGTTCCTCCCTCCCCTCCCTTTTTCTCCTTCCCATCCTCTTTTTTCCCTCCCCCCCTCGCTCTCTTCCCTGCCCTTTCTCCCCTTCCCCCTTCTCCCTCACCCTTTCCCCCCTTCCCTCTTCTCCTCTTCCCCGTCTCATCCCAAGCCACAGGCATCTACTATTTCGACTCTAACAGCATTAATTAATTTCGCCTTCAATTCAGAATCACCGTTGCCCAACCAGACTATGACCAGAACGACAACAAAGGCGTGGCTCGGATATACAGCCTGGTGGAAGGCGGACCTCTCACCAAACCTCTAAGCTCAGTCCGGACCGACATCCCGAACCTCTGCCTCGCCTTCCCTAACCACTACCACCACCGAGTCGCACCATTTGAGCTACAGGCCACCAGAAAATTCTTGTATCTACTGTGCGTGTGCCAGCTCAGCAGCTGAGCTGGCAGAGAAGGGAACTTGAAAGGAAAGGTAATCTGTGTCCTGTCCTGCCTGGGTTAGCTCTAAACCTAATTGCACAAAGAGTGGGTGCACTCACTCATGTCCTCTCTATTCATTATATATCTACTTACTGATATTAACACCTAGAAATATATATATACAGGTATACTTAGAAAATCAGAATGACTGTTCAGATTTCCTCAGAAACGTTCTCGACCGATATCGCCAAACAGAAGTGAACCAAGTCGCAAGACAACCAATAATTTTCTTTCACATAGGCGAAATCCTCAACTCCTCAGTAACGTTCGGAAGTGGATCCTACCGAACAAAAATGAAATCCAAAGGTCTGCCTTCGATGTTCTCCTCTCAAATTCGACCAGGCTGACAGTCTTCCTCTCCCCCAACTGACCCCACTGCTGCAGCAAGTGGGGCTGGTGTGGCTCCACCGCCGATCACTGCGGCGCTGGCTGCCAGTCCCAGTGCTCCCCTTATGCCTCCTCGCCCACTCCGCCTCCTACCACATCCCCTTCCCCCCCTCCTCCTCCCCCATCCTCCTCCCCTTCTCCGCCTTCCGCTTCTCCGCCGGCCCCGTCCGCCTCACCTCCGCCCCCAACTGGCTCCGCTCCCCCCCCAACCGGCTCTGCTCCCCCCCCAACCAGCTCCGCTCCCCCACCAACCGGCTCCGCTCCCCCCCCAACCGGTTCCGCTCCCCCCCCAACCAGCTCCGCTCCCCCCCCAACCGGCTCCGCTCCCCCCTCTACTGGGCTGCAGCGCATGGCGTATTTTGTCAACACGGCGGGCATGGACCCATCCCTCATCCCTGCTGCCAACCTCACGCATGTCTTCCTACGCCTTTGCTTCCATCAACACCAGCACATACCAGGTACGCGACTGTCTTGTCTCGTCATCCACTCTTCTCCGTCCCAATTGGAGCAGGTATTTATTTATCTATTTTTTTCCATACTCATTCGTCTCATGCTTGTGAGTTTCTCATTCCGCTGCAAGGCACACTACGTGTTTTTCGAGCTAGCAGTCTCGACTGCCTCATTCCCCACGAGAAGGTTCTCTTGCCTCTCAGACTCAGATGCGCCGTTTCGTTTCCCCCTCTCAGATTCCTACACCTTGATGACCTATCACCTCCCATGTTTCTTCCCTCCCCATTCCAGGTCGTCCCTTCCAACCCAGCCGTCGATGTGACCCAGGGCCTCTATCGGCGCTTCAACTCCGCTGTAAAGGCCGCCAACCCCGCCATCAAAACCCTCCTCTCCATCAGCGGCTATGTCGACGTTTTTGACAACAACGTTATCGGCAACACCTCCTCCTCCCCGTCCTCCCGCTCTGCCTTTATTCAATCCGCGATCGCCCTCGCCCGCACGTACAGCTTTGACGGCCTGGATGTCTACTGGAAGTACACAACGGGCAACGCCACCCTGGTCTCCGCCCTGCTCACGGATTTCCGGGCGGCGATCGAATCCGAAGCTGCCGCCTCTGGGAAATCGAAGCTTCTGCTTTCTGCGGCAATTCCTGCCTACGGGCAGACTGAAGGTCTATCCTATGACGCCCCGACGCTTAACAAAACACTGGATTTTGTGAATTTTAAGACTTACGATCTGTCTGGGTGGAGGACCCTCATGCACACTGCTCTGGAGGACCCGAGCAACCCCCAGAAGAGCATCAAGGGTGCCATGGCTGCCTTGGTGTCCCGAGGCTTGGCCCCGAGCAAGGCCATGGTAGGCTTGGCGATGTACGGCCAAACCTGGACTCTTGCTTCGACAAACAGCACTGGGGTTGGAGCTCTTGCCGTTGGGCCTGGTCAGCCTGGGCCTATCAGTCAGGCTAGTCCCCTTTTCCTGGTTCTCCTCTGCATCGTGCGTCCCTCCCTTCCTCGCATAATCACGAACCATTTTGTGTTTCCCCTACGTTTCCTTCTTTCTCTCCTTGCTCTTACAATTGCAGGGTACTCATTCCTGTTCCTAAAAGATGCAAGCAATCAGCCCCAAGCAGGCTCTCATCACCCTCTTCCTTGGCCTGCATATTCCCTATCCCTCTCCACCCCTCCCACAGAAACCTGGTATCCTCTATTACAAGGAAATCGAACAGCTGGTAACCACTGGAGGTTACACAGCTAAGCTCGACGCCCCAACATTCTCTATGTATGCAGTGAAGGGTGACCAGTGGGTTGGTTACGACGACCCTTCCACCATCACCACCAAGGTTCAGTTTGCCAAGGCGCAAGGCTATGGAGGGTGGTTCTTCTGGGAACTGAGCCAGGATGCCAATTATGCTCTGCTCAATGCTGCAGTAGCTGCATGAGATGAAAGCCACACTAATGAATCTTATGCTTGTTAATTTTTGTTTCTAGTGTAGACGCGTTTAATTGGAGTCAGGTGAATATGTCACTGTTTCAATCGAGACAGAAATGCACCCGTTTTTTCAAACTCGTGATTCAACCTGTCCAACTAGAGGGTACCGCAGCTGTTTAGTGAACTGAGCCATGATGCCAACAATGCTCTTCTTGATGCTGCAGCCCCTGCATGAGATGAACCTTTTGTAGACACCGTGAAAAAAACAATATTCCATTGATTCATCTGTTCGAAGTGTAGACAAGTTGATTGGTGGTCTGTCAGTTGGGGGTGAATCACATCGCTCTGCCCCCATGCACAATGCAGCAGCAGTCCCTCCCAATCACACCACCCTCCCTCCCACCCGCCATCTCGCCCCTCGTTGCTGCCAGCTGCGCTACAACTGCCCGTATTGAGCCTGGAGGAGCAGGCAGAGCCGCACATGCCGCCCGCAATTGCAGAGCCACAGCATGCAATTCGCAGCAGTCCCTCCCAGTCACACCACTCTGCCGCCCGCCATCTCCTCCCCCGTTGCCGCCAGTTGCGCCCACCTGCCGCCCGCCGCCGCCCCTGCTGAGCTGGCGGAGTCTCTCAGACTGCCGTCCGCCTCGAGCTTCGCCTGCACCTGCCTCGCCATCAGGGCTAGGCCTGGGGATACGTAGTGACACGGGCGAAGAAAGGCAGAAAAAGGGCATGTTGAGACGTCTACAGGTGTTGCAGAGTGAATTGGGAGTGGGAATGCTGTCTGCCTCGGGCTTCGCCTGCAGTGATAAGTCGATTTTTGAGTCGACTCAAAAATCGACTTATCACACACGAATGCTGTCTGCCTCGGGCTTCGCCTGCACCTGCTTTGCCATGAGGGCCAAACCTGAGCGGCACAGGCGAACAGGGAGAAATTGTAGAGTGTAGAGTGAATGCATTGTACAGAGTTACATTAGCAATGATTGCCGCTGAACAAGTTACAGTGGCCGTGTCCCGCCTTCAGCTTCGCCTGCACCTGCCTCGCCATGAGGGCTGGCCTAGCCCTGGGGGGCTTTTGAGAATAGCAAGGAAACATTGTAGAGTGGATGTGGATTAAAACCGGGATAGAATACCCACTTGGTCATTTAACCAACTTCGAGAAATCAGTTGGCCTGATGGCTCGATGCAGTGGATGGAAAGTTGTACAGTGTTTGCATGACAGAGGCTCATCCCCTCACCCACTCCAACCAGCACACCCAACAGACTCACACTCCCACACTCCCACACACCCACACTAACACACTCCCACACACACGGAGCCATCCACAACCCCACACACCCACCCTGCACCATGCGGCTGACAGCCGTCCACCGCTTTTCTTCCCACAATGCATGATACAAGCTCATCCTCTCATCCTCTCACCCACTCGCCCAATCACACTCACCAAGTCACCCACATGCTTACTTCCACCCCCCCATACGCACACACATACCCACAATCCTACAATCTACCCACACTCACACTCACACCCACACCCACACCCACACACACACCCACACTCACACTCACACTCAACACCCACACCCACACTCACACCCACACCCACACTGACACCCACACCCACACTTACACCCACACCCGCACCCACACCCACACCCACACTCACACCCTTCCCTTGCCCCCGACCCCTTTCCCTTTTTCCACCCACACCCACACCCACACCCACACTCACACCCACGGCTGAGTCAACCTACTCACCCTGCACCACGCGGCTGACAGCCGTCCACCACTTGTCTTCCGACAGCTGTCGCCTCGTCAGCGCTGATGAGATCTCCTCACTGCGCTGCCCAGACAGCACCGCCTGCAGCACCTGGGCGGCATCCCTTGTCTCTTCCAGCACGCCTCTCTGCAGTGGCGAGATAAGAGCGGGAGAGAGACAAGAGGCAAGAGACAAGGACGTGGAAATAAAGAGAGAGCAATTGGGTGTTGGTTAATTGTGACAACAAATGTGTGAGAGTTGTGAGCACGCTCAAAAACCACATTTGGTAATCTTGACACTCGTCTCTTGACAGTTGAGTGCCAACACCTAAATGTCTGACATGTGGTTCTTGGACAATTACATGTGGCACTCAAGAGCCTTCAGCCATATGTCTCAAAGGACAATTACATGTGGCACTCAAGAGCCTTCAGCCATATGTCTCAAAGGACAATTACATGTGGCACTCAAGAGCCTTCAGCCATATGTCTCAAAGGACAATTACATGTGGCACTCAAGAGCCTTCAGCCATATGTCTCAAAAGACAATTACATGTGGCACTCAAGAGCCTTCAGCCATATGTCTCAAAGGACAATTACATGTGGCACTCAAGAGCCTTCAGCCATATGTCTCAAAGGACAATTACATGTGGCACTCAAGAGCCTTCAGCCATATGTCTCAAAGGACAATTACATGTGGCACTCAAGAGCCTTCAGCCATATGTCTCAAAGGACAATTACATGTGGCACTCAAGAGCCTTCAGCCATATGTCTCAAAGGACAATTACATGTGGCACTCAAGAGCCTTCAGCCATACGTCTCAAAGGACAATTACATGTGGCACTCAAGAGCCTTCAGCCATATGTCTCAAAGGACAATCACATGTGGCACTCAAGAGCCTTCAGCCATATGTCTCAAAGGACAATTACATGTGGCACTCAAGAGCCTTCAGCCATATGTCTCAAAGGACAATTACATGTGGCACTCAAGAGCCTTCAGCCATATGTCTCAAAGGACAATTACATGTGGCACTCAAGAGCCTTCAGCCATATGTCTCAAAAGACAATCACATGTGGCACTCAAGAGCCTTCAGCCATATGTCTCAAAAGACAATCACATGTGGCACTCAAGAGCCTTCAGCCATATGTCTCAAAGGACAATTACATGTGGCACTCAAGAGCCTTCAGCCATATGTCTCAAAGGACAATTACATGTGGCACTCAAGAGCCTTCAGCCATATGTCTCAAAGGACAATTACATGTGGCACTCAAGAGCCTTCAGCCATATGTCTCAAAAGACAATTACATGTGGCACTCAAGAGCCTTCAGCCATATGTCTCAAAGGACAATTACATGTGGCACTCAAGAGCCTTCAGCCATATGTCTCAAAGGACAATTACATGTGGCACTCGAGAGCCTTCAGCCATATGTCTCAAAAGACAATTACATGTGGCACTCAAGAGCCTTCAGCCATACGTCTCAAAGGACAATTACATGTGGCACTCAAGAGCCTTCAGCCATATGTCTCAAAAGACAATTACATGTGGCACTCAAGAGCCTTCAGCCATATGTCTCAAACGACAATTACATGTGGCACTCAAGAGCCTTCAGCCATATGTCTCAAAGGACAATTACATGTGGCACTCAAGAGCCTTCAGCCATATGTCTCAAAGGACAATTACATGTGGCACTCAAGAGCCTTCAGCCATATGTCTCAAAGGACAAGTACATGTGGCACTCAAGAGCCTTAAGCCATATGTCTCAAAGGACAATTACATGTGGCACTCAAGAGCCTTCAGCCATATGTCTCAAAAGACAATCACATGTGGCACTCAAGAGCCTTCAGCCATATGTCTCAAAAGACAATTACATGTGGCACTCAAGAGCCACATGTGAGAGGACGAGAATCAGCATGGAAACAGGGGAACATGGAGGAGTATGAGACACGGGTGAGAAGCATAGGAAAAGGAGTAAGGTCCGATTCTGGCTTGCGAGGTGAATGGGATGGGTTGCTGCCAGCCCTGGTGTGGTGTGGAAGGGAAGCTGCACCTGGAAGGATTTTTTAGGCTCCTCAATAATCAGCTTGCGAAGTGAATGGGTGGCTGCCAGCCCTGGTGTGGAAGGGAAGCTGCACCTGGAAGGTCGGTGGTTGTGTGACGGCCACAAGTGCGTTGCTCTCTCCCTCCTCCCCCTCACTGTCGTTGCACATGGCCTGCATGCAACCCAGAGGGGGTAAGATTCATCATGAGAACGAGCTTTGAGGCACCTAAAGAATCAAGTACGTCACTTTCTCCGTCTCCCCCCTTCGCTGCGATTGTACCTGGCCTGCACAGAGCAAACCGTAGGGAGTCGTGTTATTATAGAGTATTTTTTCCCGTTAATTATCGAGCCATGTTTTTCAGGCGCCTAACCCATGGATGGTACAATAGGGTGGATAGACCGCACTACACCACTGCTGACCAGCCCAGACCTGTCTCAACCGTTGTGGAACCAATTTAGAGAGAGTGGAGAGACCGCACTGCACCACTGAGCAATTTGAGGCGCCTCAGAGTCTCAGACGCAGCTGCTGCAGCTGCAGCGCCGGAGAGGCAGTGTGCTCGTCTGACCAACGCCCCCCCTCCCACTGCCAGCTCCCCCACTGCCAGCCAGCTCCCCCACTGCCAGCCAGCTCCCCCACTGCCAGCCAGCTCCCCCACCGCCAGCCAGCTCCCCCACTGCCAGCCAGCTCCCCCACTGCCAGCCAGCTCCCTCACTGCCACACTGCTCGTCTGCCGACACTTGCAAACAATCACCTGCAACCGGGCAACTCTGAAGTGTGAAGGCAATGTGGGAGCACACACCTGCAAATCCTTCTGGGAATATGTGCGAGTGAGAGAGCCAGCGCCCACTGCGCGGCAGTGGCCCACCGTCACGTCACACTGAAACTGAGGCCATGCACCCCAGTAGCATGTACCTGCATCCTGCAAGCAAGCCGCTCTATGGTACATCAACCACCTAACGATTCATCTGTGAGGAAGTGAGCATGAGAGCCAGCGCCCACTGGGCTGCTGTGGCCCACCGCCACTCTGGGACTGAGAGGGACGCACACGTGCAGTCACTCACTTGGTGATGCTCACCTGCAGCGACACACCTCTATAGCACGTACCTGCAGATCCCTCTGTGAGGAGGTGAGCGTGAGAGCCAGGGCCCACTGGGCGGCAGTGGCCCACCGCCACTTGGCCGCCTCGCGCGCCATCTGCTTCTCCTGCACCGCCGCCCGGTCGGCAAGCTCGTCTGCTAGCGCCACCTCCCCCAGCGCCACACTGCGCAGATACTTGGCGGTCTGAGGGCCCGTGCTGCGCACCATTGCTGCGAAGACACTGGCCTCGTTCAGGACTAAATTGGCTGGCGTGTCGTACTCCAAGGCCTGGGGGAAGGGCAGGAGAGGTAAAGAGGTGGAGAGGCGGTGGAGGTAGAGTGGGTACTTGGCGGTTTGAGGCCCCGTGCTGTGCACCATGGCTGCAAACACACTGCCTTCGTTTTATACCAGGTTGGCAGGAGTGTCGTAATCCAGGCCTGGGAGAGGGAATGAGCAGAGGAGGAGGAGGAGGAGGAGGAGGAGGAGGAGGAGGAGGAGGAGGAGGAGGAGGAGGAGGAGGAGGAGGAGGAGGAGGAGGAGGAGGAGGAGGAGAGCCTTGAAGACACCCACAGAAGAGGGAGGAGGAAAGGGTGAGGGTAGAGGCAGAAGAGCGGGCGAGGGAAGGGGTGGGTCCGCAGAGAGTGGATGGGTCCGCAGAGAGTGGAGGCAGTTGGCATGGAGTACAAAGCGTTGCCCCAAATGTTGGAGTCTGTAAAAGACTCGGTGGACGAGGCGATAGTGCGTGCGGCTTCTGAGGGGCAGGCGAGAAAATGGAGACATTGAGGAGGCCGGTACTGGTACTCGGTATCGTTGCAAGTTCGTTGCAAGAACGGAAATAAGCAACAATGGCTGAAAATGAGCGCTTCTTGGAAACGCTGAAAGGAGAGATACTAGGTGTAAGCCTCACCACAGGGAATAATATAGAATCAATTCAGCTCACCATGCCAGCATCCATGACCAGAACCTGTCGCTATCCATGATGGTGTTGAGATGGTGAGTGATTGTGAGGATGCCAAGTTGAGGACAAGAGGTGTCAAACCAAATAAACTCACCATGCCAGCATCCATGACCAGGATGCGGTCGCTATCCATGATGGTGTTGAGCCGGTGAGCGATGGTGGATAGGCGATAAGACGTATCATTATTAAACCAAACTAGCTCACCATGCCAGCATCCATGACCAGGATCCGGTCGCTATCCATGATGGTGTTGAGCCGGTGGGCGATGGTCAGCATGGTGCGCCCCTTGAACTCCTCGCGCACCGTCCGTTGGATCAGCGCATCCGTGCCCACATCAACGGCTGCCGTCGCTTCATCCAGCACCAGAATTCGCGACTCCTTCAGCAGCGCCCGTGCAAGGCTGATCAGCTGCCTCTGCCCCACACTGAAGTTCTCCCCTCCCTCTGCCACCTGTATGAGAGGAGAAGGGGTTATGGGGGTAGGAGCGGGGAAGGGCATGGCAGCAGCAGAAACCGCAATGGGGTCCAGGGTTCAGGGTTTAGGCTTTAGGGTTCAGGGTTTAAAGTTTAAGGTTCTGGGTTTAGGGTTTCGGCTTTAGGTTCTCCCCACCCCTCTACGGCTGGTGCTCCACCCTCAACGATAGACGAAGTTCAACCACTCTGCTTCAGGTACCACCTCCCCCAGGTGGCACCTCAGAATTACCACCTCCTGCCACGACTTTCTTCCCTTCCCTTTGGCCCTCACCTCCGTGTCCAGCCCCACCCCAGCCCCAGGGGCATGCGGGCGAGATACCACCTCCCTCAGGTAACACCTCAGTACCAGCACTCTCCAGATACAATTATCTCCCTTTTCCCCTCGACTCACCTCCGTGTCCAGCCCCAGTGGCATGCGAGATACCACCTCCCTCAGGTGGCACCTCCCTCAGGTGGCACCTCCCTCAGGTGGCACCTCCCTCTGGTGACACCTCGGTACCAGCACTGTCCAGCTACAACTATCTTCCCTTCCCTCACACTCACCTCTGTGTCCAGCCCCAGCGGCATGCGAGATACCACCTCCCTCAGGTGCGCCCTGCCCAGCGCCTCCCACACCTCGCTGTCACTGCGCTCGCTGAACGGATCCAGGTTGAACCGCAGCGTGCCTGGGGGGGGTGGAGGAGGAGGGAAGAGAAGGGAGGGGGGGGGGACGGGGGGGGAGAACAGGACATTAGGGAGGATGGCCAGGTGGGATACAGTCGAGAGCTCATTAAGCCCCACCTGTTGCTCCCACACAGTGAATTTCGAGGCACATCAAAAACTTGGTGACATGATTCAGATTGATTTGACCTGGAGGGACATGGAGTGTGGCTGGGCTGGGGAGCAGCAAGAGGGGGAGGGGAGCGGGTGTGGCGTGGAAGGGGGAAAGGAAGATGAAAGGCAGCTGAAGCTGTACGTTGCCAAACCCCAAAGATGATTGGATTCGGGGTTAGAGACAATCAGGAAGTGCAAAAACTAGACCCTCATTCTTAACTATACCCCCAATAACATCAAAAAGCCTGCATCCTTTTCAACACTGAATTGAAGAGCCGACTTTTCAGTTGACTTGAAGTCACCTGAAATCGAATTACCAGTGAAGAAACCTGGTGTTTGAGACTCTGAGGGATGATCATGAGCGCATGTCGCACGTCCGTCACACCCCGGGTTTCCCACGCCTAAACCCCTAACCTCAGTCTCAGGCCCACCTCGAGTACTATGAAGGCTTCCCCAAACACCTAATGAGGCATTCCGCCCTTCAAGCACGATGCTCAAGGGGTTGCGTTCCGCCCCGAGCTATGAGGCGCCGCAAAATTAACCCCTAACCTCAGTCTCAGGCCCACCTCGAGTACTATGAAGTCTTACACAAACACCTGTCAGGCCCATCAGTCTTTCTCATCGATGAAGAGAACAGGTGTTTGGGGAATGAGCATGAACAGGTCTTTCTCGAGAGCACACCACACGCCTGTCAGTCAAAGAACAGGCAGACCCTAATCCCTAAGCCCTCATCCCTGCACCTTGAATGCTCTCTATGTCCTTTCACCGGTAAAGGGCACAGGCGTTTGGGGAAAGTTCATGAGAGCACGGTGCAGGTCCGATGCTCCAAACAGCTCCCATGTCTAGACCGCAGAACCCTGAGATTCTTCACCGCAAAGACCACAGGAGACCCTGTGCCTTTCCTCTCACCAGTGAAGAGCACGGGATTCTGAAGAATGATCATGCGAGCTTGAGTTGAGTGAGCAGCGCACGTCCGTCACTTGACAAAAGATTCCATCCACAGGTGGAGAACCCAGTGGACCCATTAGATGGAAGCTTCAACAACATTAGATGGTTTGCATCTTCCTCACCAGTGAAGAGCACGGGCGTTTGGGGGATGATCATGAGCGCATGAGTGTGCCGTGCACGCCCCCATTACTTGAGGAAAACCAAAACCTCAGACTGAGCCTTGTCACCTTGGGAATCCCAAGCTTTTCTCACCAGTGAAGAGCACGGGCGTCTGGGGGATGATCATGAGCGCACGGCGCACGTCCGTCACTCCAAACAGCTTCAGATCCTGACCGTCGATGCAGATGCGCCCGCTCTCGATCTCGGCCAATCGGAAGAGTGAGTTGAACAGGGACGACTTGCCTGCAGAGACAAGGGCATGAGAAGGTGGGTCGCATGGGGTATGAGAGAGGTGGAGGAGTGGAATACGAATCTCTCCCCAGCAGGCCGACCTTCTCCCACCCCCCCCTCCCACCAACACAGTAAGACCCCCTCAGCACATATGCAGCGAAGAGACATACCCTCAGCCAAGGCAGCAAGCGACTCTCACGACACAGACATACCCTCTCACATGCGCCAGTCCTCCCCACCACGCCGACCTTCTCTCCACCCCGCACCAGGGCAGGTCCGGCCGGTACCGCATCACCACGTCCTCAAATAACTCCTCCCTTTCAGCATGAGACGAGCTGTCACATAAGCACAGTCACACTCTCTCACCTGCGCTAATGCGCCCCAACCAGCACAGAGAACCCCCACAGCAGGAAATGATTCTCCCTTAAACACTGACAGACTCTCACTCTCACCTGCCCCAGTGCGCCCCACCACTCCAACCTTCTCTCCTCCCTGCACCAGGGCACTGAGCCCTCTCAGCACGGGTGGCAGGTCTGGCCTGTACCGCATCACCACGTCCTCAAATAACACCTCCCCCTGCTGCGGCCACCCGGGCGGCGGGCGGTGGCTCGGAATGATGGCCGGCGCCTCGGCGGGGATGTCAGCGTAACTGCCCACCCGCTCCACCGCATTGAACGAGTTCTCTGAAGGAAACAAACGTGATAACGGGGGAATGGGGCCGAGAAAGGAGGGTGTAAGGAAGGGGGTGGTGGTGGGGGGAATTCATTGTAGGCACTTCGGGAGGGATGTCGGACTAGCTGCCAACCAGGGTGTTTTTGAGAATTCTCAAAAACACCCTGCAGCATCAGGGATGTTGGACTAGCTGCCAACCAGCTCCACCGCGTTGAACGAGTTCTCTGAAGGAAATAGAGGGTGATAAAGGGGGGGATGGGGAAGGGGAGGAGGGTGTGAGGAATGAGGTGGAGGAGGGGAATTGATTGTAGGAGCTTGGGAAGAGATGTCAGCGTAACTGCCAACCAGCTCCACCGCGTTGAAAGAGTTCTCTGAAAGAAAATAGGAGAATAATATAGTACGGGGGAAATGGGTTTGTCGGAGGAAAGGACAGGCAGAGGAGGAGCAGGGGAGGAGGGAGGGAGACTGTTGGCTCGGAATGATGGCGGACGATTCGGGGGCGAAGGGGCCCGGGAGAGGGGGGGAGGAAGAGGGGATGTGATCTCAGCGAGCAAAGGCTTCCCAGCGACAGAGAGCAGTCAGTCGGAGCACCATGGTCATCATGGCTGTTATGTTATGTGCTTTGAGTGTAAGCATCTACTCACGTAGCCCCACACCAGCAGCACGCGAAGCAGCACTCACCAGCAACGGAGAGCAGTCTGAGCACCATGGTCTTCATGGGGGTGATTTGCAGTGCGCACGACTAAATCAGCCCCATGACTGGCGCCAATGCAGCCCTAAGTGCCCCTGGCAATACTGACACCAGAATGAGGTCAGTGCCTTACCAGCGACGGAGAGCAGGCGCAGCACCATGGTCATCATGGCAGTGATTTGCAGCGCGTACGACAGAATGAGTCCCATCACCGGCGCCAGTGCTGCCTGGTCGCCCGCCCGCTGCACATCCATCACTGCAAACACCGCCGTGGCTGCAGGAGGGAAGCGAAAGGGGTCCAGTGCGGTGGGGTTTGGTACAGTTGGATTGAAGGAGGGAGGTGCGATGTGAAAAAAGAGTCACAACACCGGCGCCAGTGCTGCCTGGTCGCCCGCCCGCTGCACATCCATCACTGCGAATACAGCCGTGGCTGGAAGGGGGATAGAAGGGTGCAATGCGGTGAAGTAAGGTGCAGTGGGATTGAGGGAGGGAGATGCGAGGAACTCAAGACAGAATGAGTCCCATCACCGGCGCCTGTGTGCCGACTCATCGCCCGACCTCGCCACATCCATAACTGCGAGTTCTGCTGTGGCTGTGGGGGAACAGAAGGGTGCAATGCGGTGGGGTTGGGCACAATGGGATAGAGGGAGGTACGATGCGGTGAAGCGAGATGTAAAGTAAACGCAATGTAGTGAGACTACGAGCCTGACTTTTAGATCCAGTGGTGAAGAAACAGAGAGGAAGGAAGGTCATGACGTTCATGTGAAGAAAGCAATCAAGGAAAAGAGGATACTCCTGAAGTTCAGGCATGCCCTGGACCACAAAAGGATGACCGAAGATCATGAGCCCGCCCAGGAATTCGAGGCGGAAGGCGAGAGCCAGCGGTTGGTGAATCACCTGAACCGAGGCAAACCCTGAACCCTGACCCTTGAACCCCTAACCGAGGTAACATATTACCCAAGATCATATTACCCAAGATCATGAGTCCGCCCAGGAATTCGAGGCGGATGGCGAGCCAGCGGTTGGCGCTCATGCTGACGAGGGTGAAGCGCGTGTTGCGGTCCACCGCCCCCCCGTTCATCCCCGCCATGCGCTGCGCTGCCCTGTACGCCCTGATGGTTGCCAGCCCGTTCAGTGCCTCCGCAAACTGATGGTGGGGTGGGAATCCATCCATGAGATGCGGGAAGATGGGGTGGGAATCCATCCATGAGATGCAGGAAGATGGGGTGGGGGAAGATGTGGTGGGGGAAGATGGGGTGGGGGAAGATGGGGTGGGGGAAGATGGGGTGGGGGAAGATGGGGTGGGGGAAGATGGGGTGGGGGAAGATGGGGTGGGGGAAACCCGGGGTGAGGAGGAGGGAGAGGGGGGACCAGAATAAAGGGGGTTTTGGAGGTTGGGAGTTGGGGGTTGAAGGAGAGGTGTGAGTGTGTGTGTGAGTGTGGGTTGGCGCTCATGCTGACGAGGGTGAAGCGTGTGTTGCGGTCCACCGCCCGCCCGTTCATCCCCGCCATGCGCTGTGCTGCCCTGTACGCCCTGATGGTTGCTAGCCCGTTCAGTGCCTCCGCGAAGTGAGGGGGCAAGGCAAAAAGGAACCCCGAATTGGAGAGGAAAATGGAGGGGGAAAACCGGGGCAGAGGGGAGGGAAGGCCAGAAAGTGGCGGGATTTAGGGGAGGTATGTATGTGTATGGGTGGGTTGGCGCTCATGCTGACGAGTGTGAAGCGTGTGTTGCGGTCCACCGCCCGCCCGTTCATCCCCGCCATGCGCTGTGCTGCCCTGTACGCCCTTATGGTTGCCAGCCCGTTCAGTGCCTCCGCGAACTGAGAGGGGGGTGGGGTGGTGTGTGTGAGGAAGAAGAGGGGTGGGGGGAGGGGTCAGACAGCCCGGGAGGGGTTAGACAGCCCGGGAGGGGTCAGACAGCCCGGGAGGGGTTAGACAGCCCGGGAGGGGTTAGACAGCCCGGGAGGGGTTAGACAGCCCGGGAGGGGTTAGACAGCCCGGGAGGGGTTAGACAGCCCGGGAGGGGTTAGACAGCCCGGGAGGGGTTAGACAGCCCGGGAGGGGTTAGACAGCCCGCTCGTTCATCCCCGCCTTCCGCCCTGCTGCCCTGTATGCCCTTACGGTTACCAGCCCGTTCAGTTGCCTCGGTGAATTCAGAGAAAGGTCGGGGTGGGGTTCATGGGAGTCAAGGAGGAGAAAAACGATGGTATGCATGCACACAAATACGCGTGCCCACGCACACAGACACACACATTCACACCTGCGAGTACACAGGCGACCGAGTGACAGAGTCCCAGCGCTTGACCTCTCATGCCGTGCAGTCCTCAGGAAGTAGAGGTAGACGATATAGAAGAGCAGCAGCAGCGGCACGATGGCCACCCAGGTGTGCTTCGAGTTATCCCGAGCCCTACTTGCACGCTAGCAGAAATCTACAGGAACCAGAAAGAGAGAAGCCACGTGTAAACAGAAGTGTTTTGAGACGTCTCAAAACACTTCTGTTTACACACAGGTGTGCTTCGAGTTATCCCAAGCCCTACTTGGCTGGAGGCATAGCAGGGTGTGCTTCTAGTCAGCCCAAAGCCCAAGCCGTACCTGTGAGTAGACGGGAGAGCGCGTCACCGAGTCCCAGCGCTTGACTTCCCGTGCGGTGCTTTGGAAGTAGAGGTAGACGATATAGAAGAGCAGCAGCAGCGGCACGATGGCCCAGAGGGCGACGGTGTTGAGAACGCCGATGAGGGCGAAGGTGGAGAGCAGCTGGAAGATGCCGCCCAGGCACAGCGACGTGTACTGCGCGAGGTTTTTATCGATGTCGGCTGTATCTTTAGTGAAGCGGTTAATAAGACGACCCACCTGCAGGAAGGGGAGGGGAAAGAAGGGGTGGGTGTGGGGGAGGGGGGTATGCTGTTGAGGCAGAGAGAGACGTGTACTGTGCAGAATTCGTGTCTATGTCCGCTGTATCGTTCCACTCCACATCTGGGGTGGAGGGTAGAGGGGAGGGGCGAAGCGAATACACACTTCAGGCAGAACGAAGTGTACTGCTTGTGCCATTCTCTGCTGGGGCTGTTGCCGGTGCTGGTGTTGTTGCTGGCGTTGGTGCTGGAGCTAATGTCGGGCCTGATCCTGCTGCTGGGGCTGATGTAGGTGCTGTTGACAGTGGTGGTGTTGCTTCTGGGGTTGCTGGATTTGCTGCTGGTGCTAAGGCAGTTGCCGGTGCTGGTCTTACTGCTAGCGTTGGTGCTGGAGAAGATGTGCAATATCAGAGGAACGACTCACGGGGTTTGTGTGAAAGAAGGACATGGGGGCGCGGAGAATGGCCGCCAGCATGGCATCGTGCAGACGACGGGCCGCTCGCTGGGAGGAGAACACCTGCAAGGTGCGGGGGAGAGGAGAAAGAAGGAAGAAGTAGGTCAAGAAATGAGAGAGAGAGGAAGAAGCAGGTCAAGAAATGAGAGAGAGAGGAAGAAGCAGGTCAAGAAATGAGAGAGAGAGGAAGAAGCAGGTCAAGAAATGAGAGAGAGAGGAAGAAGGAGGTCAAGAAATGAGAGAGAGAGAGGAAGAAGCAGGTCAAGAAATGAGAGAGAGAGGAAGAAGCAGGTCAAGAAATGAGAGAGAGAGGAAGAAGCAGGTCAAGAAATGAGAGAGAGAGGAAGAAGCAGGTCAAGAAATGAGAGAGAGGAAGAAGCAGGTCAAGAAATGAGAGAGAGAGGAAGAAGCAGGTCAAGAAATGAGAGAGAGAGGAAGAAGCAGGTCAAGAAATGAGAGAGAGAGGAAGAAGCAGGTCAAGAAATGAGAGAGAGAGGAAGAAGCAGGTCAAGAAATGAGAGAGAGAGGAAGAAGCAGGTCAAGAAATGAGAGAGAGAGGAAGAAGCAGGTCAAGAAATGAGAGAGAGAGGAAGAAGCAGGTCAAGAAATGAGAGAGAGAGGAAGAAGCAGGTCAAGAAATGAGAGAGAGAGGAAGAAGCAGGTCAAGAAATGAGAGAGAGAGGAAGAAGCAGGTCAAGAAATGAGAGAGAGAGGAAAAAGCAGGTCAAGAAATGAGAGAGAGAGGAAGAAGCAGGTCAAGAAATGAGAGAGAGAGGAAAAAAAACAAAAAAGGCACACACAAACACAGACTGATGAAGCAGTGTCGAAAATAGTGGTTTTTTTTCAGAACATAAGTCATAAGGGTCGTCAACAAATCTCCTGCCACAAATATCAAAATTCAGTACAAGCATGGCTGGAAACCAGCAGGTGACACTTCTTCCCCGGCTGACTCATTGCTAGTATGAACCAACCAACCAATCAACCAATAAGCAGTGTGAGCTCACGAGGAAGTATTGGTTGGCGAAGGTGAGCAGCACTTGGCCCAGCGAGATGAGCGAATACCCCGCCACGAAATACAGCGACCCATGCCCACCACCCTCCTCCTGAGAAACACTCCCCGTCCACACGCTGATCCACACGCTGGCCAGCACCCTGGCGGCCTCCACGAGCACGTAGAGCGAGATGAGCACCGCCAGCACGCCCGTCCCCCCCATGGCCCTCACATACCGCCACACCACCGCCGCGCTCACCACCCCCTGCGCCTTATCCTCTGTTTGGACTAGGGTCGTTCCCCCTGCCCCGCCTTTCTCCCCCTTCCCCGCTCCGCTCTTCTCCCCAGCCCGGTTGCTGCTGCGAGAATCGCCGTTCGCTGCTGCAGCAGAGTCACTGCCACCACCACCACCACTACTGCTGCTGCCAGCTGTTGCAGCTGCCGCTGCCGCTTCAGCGCTCGTCTCACCTCCACCACTGCCCGCGTCCCCTGCTGTTTCCCCTCCCTCCCCCCCCACCTCCGCGTCCCCGTGCTCCTCCAGCGCGCCTGCCTTCTCCAGCAGCCTCTGGAACTTGGGTGCCGACGCCTTCAGCTGCACATACGGCCCCTGCTCTGCTATGCGCCCCCCCTCCACCATCACCACCCAGTCCACGGCTGAAGAGGGGGAGAGCGAGGGAGAGGGGAGAGCGGGGAGAACGGGAGAGGGGAAAGAGATGAAAAGAGTGAGGGGAGATCATAGAGTGGAAGGACGTTCTTGAGTAACAGAAATATGATGAGATGGTTTCTACCAACTAAAGTACCTGGCAGAAAGTGCAGCTGGTTTGTGACCATGATGCGCGTGCGGCCGGCAAGCTCTGTCCTCACACACGTGTCGTACACCTGCGCGGAGCCATGGAATAAGAGGCACATCACAAGCACGTGAGAATTATAAAAAGGAAACTCGCATGCAGCAAACCCATGATGACATGTTCCCAAACCCCAAGCCCAAAGCATCAAGCCAACGAGGTGACTTTTGAGTCGACTCAAAAGTCTCCCAAACCCCACGCCCAGACCAGAGCATCAAGCCACCCACCCACCTGCTTGGCGATGTGGGGGTGTCGAGGGTGGAGAGCGGGTCGTCGAAGAGTGAACAATAAGCATCAGAGTAGACCGCTCTGCTAGCCCCAGTTCACTCTCCCGCACGTGAAAGATGTGAGTTTTTTAGGCGTCTCAAAAACTCACTTTCTCCTGCGCGGTGACTTTCACTGCCCGCAAACCTCAAACCTTGAGCTGCAAGCCCCATACCCCAAGCCCCATACCCCAAGCCCCATACCCCAAGCCCCATACCCCAAGCCCTGAAACCCCAATCCCCGAAACATAGACCCACCTGCTTGGCGACGTGGGCGTCGAGGGCGGAGAGCGGATCATCGAAGAAGAAGACATCAGCATCAGAATAGACCGCTCTCGCGATGCTGATGCGCTGCTTCTGCCCGCCGCTCACGTTCACTCCCCTCTCGCCTATCTCCGTCAGGTCCCCCCCTGGCAGCAGCTGCAGGTCCCTCTCCAGGGCGCTCACTCTCACTGCCCTCAAACCCCAAACCTTGACCCGCAAACCCCATACCCCAAACCCTAAGTCCCCAAACCCTGAGCCCGCACACACCTGCTTGGCGACGTGGGCGTCGAGGGCGGAGAGCGGATCATCGAAGAAGAACACATCGGCGTCAGAATAGACCGCTCTCGCGATGCTGATGCGCTGCTTCTGCCCGCCACTCACGTTCACTCCCCTCTCGCCTATCTCCGTGAGGTCCCCCCCTGGCAGCAGCTGCAGGTCCCTCTCCAGGGCGCTCACTCTCACTGCCCGCTCGTACCGCTGCTGCTCGTAGGGCAGCCCGAAAAGAATGTTCTCGCGCACTGTGGCGTTGAAGATCCAGGAGACCTGCGCAGGCCATGTGCCACGTGGCAGCATGTGATTGGGGGAGAGGAAGAAGGGGAGGGCAGATAAAAAAAGGAAAACATAAGGCTCAGCGGGTGGACCGTGGACCGCAAGCGAATGAAACATATCAAGAAAGAAAATTAGCACTTGCTAAAACAAAGTAAACAAAGCACCTGATTAGGGGACCAGATGCAAAATAACCTTCGAAGAATCGGTACAAACCTGTGAGACATAGGCCACGCGGCCTCTGATGATAGGAGGAGAGTCCCCTGCCACCATGGGCATCTCGCCCAGCAGCGCACTGACCAGCGACGACTTGCCTTGCCCTGCCATGGGGTGGGGTGGGATGGGGGAGGAAAGCAAGGAGAAGGAATGTGGTCAGGAAGATGTGAGTTGATGAAGAGGCCTTTCCAGTCCTGACATGCCATCTCACCCAACAGTGCACCGACCAGTGATGACTTGACCCGCCCAAACCCACCCTGACCCGCCTTGACCCTCCCCAACCTGCCCCGACCAACCCACCCCATTTGCTTTGATCCGTCCTGAACCTCCTGAACCCCTCTGACCCGCCCTGACCCGCCCAGTTCACCCTACATGCCGTACCTGTGGCGCCCACAACAGCCACCAGCTTCCCAGGCTCCACCGATAGAGTCACATCTGTTAGTGTGCCCCCCACGTCCTTCTCCTTCCCCTCCCCTCCCACTCCACCCTTCTCCTTGCCGTCTCCCCCTCCTCCACCTCCCTTTTCTGCTCCTGAGCCCCCCCCAGCAGCACCGTTAGAAGCAGTTCCATTAGCAGCAGCAGTAGGAGCAGCAGAGGGAGCAGCGCTCCAGGCAAAGGAGGCATGGGAGACCTCGACTGCCGGCTTGGTGGGGTCGATGGGCGGCGCAGGGGCGTCAATGTCCGTTTCGTCTGCCAGTAGCATCTCCTGCAGGCGCGTGAGAGACACGTTCACGTTCACCACCTGGGGTTGGGGGGAGGTGGGCGTGGGGTTTCCAGCAGAAGGTGTAAGGTAGATGGGGGTAGAAGGAGGGATGAAAAAGGGACGAAGAGGATTAAGAGGAGGGAGAGGCGTCGATTTCCGTCTCCTCCAAGTCGCTTTTGAGAAGTCTCAAAAGTCACAAATGCCTAGCTTGACCGCCGCTTCAAACTGCGTAGTAGTGATGGACATGTGGGGTTTGAGATGTTAAGCCTCAAAAGCACATATTCAAACTCCGACGCCCTCCCAGCCATATTATAGTCTATGAAATAACCCAACTCGTGCTGTCTTCCGCGTGCATCAATAATTCTAGTCCTATAACTTGCCAGGTAGTACGTGCTTCCGAGAATGCCACAGCTATCCCCCGCCTCATGTACTCCTACAACCCCTCCCACTCTCCCGCCCCCTCCCCTCGGCTACACACTCCCCTGAAGACAGCACGAGTACCAAGTACGATTGGTACCAAGTGTAGATGCATTATTTGGCCATATAATATACTAAGTGTAAGGGTGTTACTTGATATTTATGATTGGTAGTAACTTCAAGTGCAGTACTTAACCTTTTGGTTGATATTATGTAAAATTGTGCTACGTGGTTATACAATTGGTACTAAATATAATGCTTTACTTAGCTTGACAGTTGGTACAAAGTGTTAGTCCCTTACTTAACATTAGGAGGTAGGGTAAAACAAGGGTACTGAATGTCAGAACTTGAGCTTAGAATCCATGCATTAGTAATGAGCTCAAGGCTCTTTAAGAACATTGGAAATGGGCAAGGTAAGGGTGGGGAGAGAGGATCAGGGACAATCCTAGAGGATTGGGGGTAATCCTAAGGCAATCTCCAATTGGTGGGTTGGAGATTGCTTAAAGATCACATTTGGGTTTGGTTGGGATATGGGTGTACACCCAGCCAAACACCAAGTGCAAACTACGCTAAGCTAGGGTATAAAAAGTACAAGTACAAATGTGAGATTGAGGGCTAACATTAACACCCCCCCATAGGCGTCAATCGAACTCATGACAGAGAAGGTGGAGCGCAAAGCCCCATGGCGCCTAGGAGGCAAAAATGAGAAACCTTCCCAAAGGGCTTAGTGAACAGATGAGCCAAGTTGGAGTCAGAGGCCACATACTCCACATTGAGCTGCTCCCGCTGGACAAGGTCACAGATGAAGAAGTGTTGAAGTTCGATGTGCTTGGTGCGAGTGTGGTAGACGGGATCCTGGAAGAGATGGATGGTGCTCTTGTTGTCACACCAGAGGGTGGGAGTGGGCTGAGGGTAGCCAAGCTCCTGGAGTAGGAAGGTGAGCCAGCGGGCCTCCTGAGCCGCCATGGTGCCAGCATAGAGCTCTGCCTCACAAGAAGACTGCCACATAGCGAGAGAGGACGCTGACAGGGTATGCCAGATCAGGCCGGGAGCACATCATGGCGTACATGAGGGACCCAACAAGATTTGGGTATGACAAGAAGGATGGAATAAAAAAGCCGGGATTGAAAGCGGTCATGGCTGGAGGAAAAAAACAATATTCTCACAATGTGAGAGAGGCATAAGATGGTAGCTTAACTGTTTAAGTGAGCTGAGGTCCCCAAATAGTTGCTCGCACTCAAGACAATCGAGTAAAAATCAGAGAGAAATAAGTCGACTCAACAATCAGCTCGACACTACCTGGGAATGGAGATCACTCGCGATTGCAAGGCTCACACCATCTCACTCTCCCAGGAGTTTTACATCAACAATGTACTCAAGCGCTTTGAGATGGAGTGGTTGCGAGTGAAGGCTTCACACTCGGCTTCCATGGCAGCGCGCCACTCGGCAGCATGGGGAACCGAAAGAGCCTCTTGGACGGTGAGGGGAATAGGAATGGTCGGGTTCTCCGAGAAGTTAAGGGGTATTCAGTGATATCGGGAAAGATGTGCGAAAACTGAAGAATGACAGCGTGGATATCACACAGCTCCTCGTGCCTGTCTTCCAAAAGGGTAGAGGGCACATTCCCTCCAGCAGGAGGAGTCGAAGTGATCACTGAGTATCGAATGGCAAGTGCTAGTAGTGGAGTAGCCCCATGCGTCCGAGTGCCATGAGCCACCGGAGAAGAGGGCGGAGCAGGCGTTCCTGGGGGGGACGACATAGGGGGCTTGGGGGGAGGGATCGGCCGACGTTGGTACGTGATTAGTTTGCTCGGCTGTGGGAGAGCAAGTTCCAAGGCGGAGGAGGAAACGAAGGGAGGAGGTGGGGCGGGAGGATTTGACCGCCGATGGTATGTGATTGGTGCGTTTGGTGGTGAGGGCGCAGTTGGCAGAGTGGCAGAAGGGGGGGATGGAGGAGCAGCTGCCGAGGACACCGGAGAGGTCGGGTTAGAGACCGTAGACGAGGATGGTGCGATGGCAGGAGAAGCACGAGGTGAGAGGGCTGGTGCAGGCGGAGGTTCAGAAGGCACATCAATGTCAGCCCACACGAGAGAGGGTGGTCCGGAGGGGGGATCTCCCCCCGAGGTGGAGAAGAAGAGGCGAGTCTCATCAAAGACGACATCTCGGCTCCGGACGAGTTTGTTGAGTGGAGGGGTTGAGGAAAAGGTAGTCAGGGGAGTCAGCGTTATGCCCAATGCATTTGCACGTTTGAGTTTTGGGACGAAGCTTCCTACCTTGCCCTTGGCAAGCCTGGGGGTTGAGGAGTACATAGGGGGTGCACCCCCAGACGCTAAGGGGGCGAGCAGTGGGTGTTTTTTCGAGCCACAGTGTGATGGGAGCGGTGTCGGGAAGATGCGGGTGGGGATAGAGGTTGTAGAGGAGGGCAGCATGACAAAGGGCGTACCTCGAGAGTGAGAGTGGTGCGTTGCAGTGGCTGAGCGAGTGATCTGCGTCAGTGTGTGATTGCGGCTCTTTGCTATGCCGTTTTGCTGCTGGCTGTCAGGAAGGGTGAAGTTTTGCAGGATGCCAAGGGAGGAGCAGAAGGCTTTGGGATTGTCATTGCAAAATTCACCACCACCATCCGAGTGGAGACGCTTGACCTTGGTGCCAAAGGAGGTATGCACCTGGTCAACCCATGCCATGATTGCCTCCGGGGCCTCAGCCTTAGGAGGTGCACAGAGACGTAGCGAGTGTGGTCATCAACTATCAGAAGAAATAGAGATGACCACCTCGTGCGACAACCGGGGCAGGGCCCCAGATGTCCATGTGCACTAGGTCCAATGGGGGTGCTGCTATTGAGGGTGAGGCAGGGTGGGGCTGCTGGCATACCTTACTCTTGGTACAGTCAAGGCACGTGGGAGCGGGCGAGTCAAGTGGTGGAGGAAGTGAGGCTGGCCAGCTGAGAAGAAGCTTCTTGGAAGCCATGTCAGCAAACGTGCGGAAGTTTGAGTGCCCGAGCCGATGGTGGTAGAGGATGGTCGGGTTGGAGAAGCTGCGACATGAGCATGCTGTGATAGCAGCCTGTGCTTGGGTGGTTGACACCTGTGGGATAGGTACTCGCAGCGTGTAAAGGCCGTTGTGATTGAGGGTGAAGCGAGCCAAGACCTTGTTGGTGAGTGAGTCGATGATGTCACAATAGTTTTCGTTCTCCGGGAAGATGGTGCGTAACCCCGCCTCCTGAATTTCTGTTTGAGCCACTAGATTGTGGCGTAGTGACGGCACGCACATGCCAGTGACAGTGCCGGATGGAACGGCGGGGCATGGGACTGTGGACGAACCCTTGGCAAGAGTGGTGAAGCTTGAATCAGCTCTCAAGAGAGGAATGGGTGTTGCGTAGGGTTTAAAGAAAAGTCTCCTTGAGCACTGTGTGAGTGGCCCCGCTGTCGAGTGTGAATTTTATATGTCGTGGTGTCTGTGATGAGACGATGTACTGCGTAGTTGCTTCATTAATCATTGCAGTGCCAGGGAACAACAAGTTCATGCGCACATCAGCAGGAGCACTGTCACTAGCACTAGCCTGAGCGGGGTTCTGTGCCTCAACAACGTTGGCCTTACGAGAATGTATCCAATTCGGCGGCTTTTTGTCGACTCCATGGATGGCATACCATTCGTCGTTTTTCTTCTTGCAGCACCTGGCGAAGGGGTGGTTGGTGCCACCGCACACTTGTCCCTTGCGAATGCCATACTTGACAATGTAGGTGCATGGAGGGAAGCGGTTGCGCTTAAAGGACGCCGAGGCGAGTGCTGATGCGACACTTGATTGAGGCACGGGAGCACGGAGGGCGTAGGCCTTAGCTTGGCCGAGGAGTCTTTTTTGGCGGAGAAGAGGGCGGAGGAGACATTAGCAAAGGTGAGGCGAGTGCTGACTCGACACTTGATTGAGGCACGGGAGCACGGAGGGCGTAGGCCTTAGCTTGGCCGAGGAGTCTTTCCCGGCGGAGAAGAGGGCGGAGGAGACATTAGCAAAGGTGAGGTCTTCTGTCGAGGAAGCGAGGAGCATTTTCCTTGTGACTTCGTAGGACATTATTCGAGGAAGATGACACCCAGCTCCTTGAGCTCGCCATGGATGATTTTCACCTTGGCGACGTAGTCGGCCATACCCAGGCAGTCCTCAAGGCGGACTTGAAACATACTACGAATAAGATTGGCCACCCCGACCGCCGTCTTATTCATGAACATGTCCTGGAGATGCTTCTAGATGGCTTTGGAAGTGGGGAAATTGTGGAACGTGTTGAGAAGTTCGGGAGGAGTGGAGCCAATGAAGACGCTAATGAAATCCGCATCGGCCTTCTCCCACTTGCGGTACTTGGCAACAGAGTCCTCGTACTCCCGGGTTGCCACAGCATCGGTTGGATCGGATGGCTCCTTGGAAATGAGGGGCTGTTTTCCCTTGCCATGATTGAGAAGAACGTCCTTGAGGTCAAGTCCACCCACTTCACGACTCAGGAGGAGCTTGTCAACCCCGTAGCTTCATGCCTTGAAGTTGGAGCTAGTGCCTTCGGCTTCAAGGCGGAGCGGGGTGATGGGTTTGGCGAGAGTGGCCGA